GGCTTCCACCATTGGAATCACCTCCAAGTTAGCTCCTTTTTCTCTTCTTTATTCATTTTTATTTTTCATTGATTTTTCGATGTTATTTCATGTGGGTATTACTGTTATTGAATTTATTTTTCTGGGTTTTGAATTTGTGATCTTGGGTTTTAATTTTTGTCATACCATCTTTCAATTGGGTGCTTTTATATAAATTCGGAGCTAAGTATAAGCATTAACTATATATTATTGTTAATCAGTATTCGTATTAAGTTACGACAGAATCACGCATTGATCGGTGTTATTAATGTTTATCATAACGAGTTTTGGCTTTCGGGTTTTGATTTTTGATTGCTATTGTACTCCGTATTTTTTTATGATCGTTGTTTAGTTTGATAGTTTGAATTTTTCAATGTTGTTTTTATATTCATTATTTGGAAATTTAGTGTTTTTGCATGTGGGTATTTAAGTAACCTGGAGAGTGTTGCTATGAATGTTAGTTGAAGAAAATTCATTTCGTTAATTTCTAGGTGTATTTTTTTTATTAATATATAAAATTTCATCCTAATTTTTTTTCTTGCCCTGTAAATTTTGCTTAATTCTGTTAAAAATAACTCGGAGTAATATTTCTTCCCAATATTTCTGTATCTTAGTTATTTTTTTTCTTCATAAAATATGTATCTTAATATGAAATACGCCATTTTTGTGGAGATTTTGTTTCAATGGATTAAATACAGGTCGTTTTTCTATTAATAGCTATTGTCGTCATTGAATTTTGCTTGATGTCATCCTAATATGGCTCATTAAAATCTTGATTGTGAGCTTATATTAAAATAAAATAATGATATTCTTATTTGTTATTTGGGGATTTGTCGTGTTCAAGTTGTCATTTTCATTGAACTTTATGTATGTCATTTGCCGACTCAAATTACTGCATTTTGTGACTAATTAATTTTGATATGTAGTCCTAATTATTAATATTGGTGTTAATGGTCTTAGTTTGTTGACCATGTTAGTTGTTTACTTTAGACTGCTTAGCTATTAAGTAATTATAAGAGGAAAATGACATCAAAATCTACCTTGCATTCCTTGTGACACGATCGTTTTCTGATTTTGACTCAGTTTTAAAATTTTGGGAATTTTGTGTTATGAAGTTTGTTGATGTGCAGGGAATTAACTGTATTTCAATGACGGCGATGGGATTCCGTGCATCAGTGTCTTGCTTACTTGCTATGACGATATGCTTTCTAAATCAATTGTCTCTTCGAGTTTTTTGTTGGAGTATATAGCTTGGACTCTTTAATTTACCTCAAGAACCCATGTTGGATACCAGGAGTGACAATCTGCCTTGTATAGAATCTTTGACACATTATTTGGGCGAAACCATACAAAATTCTCAAAATGGCCGGGTTTGACTCTTGGACATGTACCTTGTGTTCAATATTCAGAGCCAAGTCTAGGTGACATAGCTTTGGTAGAGTATGTATATTCTTGATCTTTATTCGATCCCCCTTTTGCTCACTTGGAGCCTTGGAGGTTGTGATCGTGTCCTTATCTGAGATTCCAAACAACATGATTGTGACACGCAATTAACTTCTTTGCTAGAGCTAGCTGATCATAGTGTCTTCATAATACATCCTTTGTAAAGGACTACCGGTGATTAGAATCAGTGGCAGAACTCTGTTTTTAAGCTTCATTCGATAGTTCAATCGTTTGTATTAACTAACGTTTTGTTGTGTAAATTATGAGAATGCCTTCCTGCTGGGTTTAGAATACAACCTACCCTTAGCCCCTTCTAATCCTCCTCCACTTTTCCCGCCTTACAGGAGGATGATGAAAACACTTACCAGTGCTCCATCCTTTGATTCTCCGTCTTTTCTGTTTATATCACTTCTAAATGCTGTCTTATTGTCACTGGCGATACTTTACTGTTTTGAATTCATACTATGCTATGCTGGTTAGTTTGGGATTATATTATATTAATTGAACAAAATGACAGTGATTTTTGTCATGCATATATAGTTCATTGCTGTTATTTGTGTTGATTCCCTTGCTTCATTCAAGTTATATATATTGCTCCACAAATTCTCTTACCCCTTCAGTTGCCTGATGCTATTGTCGCCTTGATATAGGGAAATTCCAAATGGTAAAAAGCCATTCATGCCTCCAAGAGAAGTACATGTACAGAAGACTCACTCATTGTCTCCACAAAAGATTGAGATGTTCAAATCTTTAGAAAATTGGGCTGAGGAAAATATTCTGGTGCTTCTAAAGCCTGTAGAGAAGTGTTGGCAACCACAAGATTACTTACCAGACCCTGCATCAGAAGGATTTGATGAGCAAGTCAAGGAGCTGAGGGAAAGAATTAAAGAACTTCCCGATGACTACTTTGTTGTTTTGGTTGGGGATATGATTACAGAAGAAGCCCTTCCAACTTACCAGACTATGCTTAACACATTGGATGGAGTTCGGGATGAGACTGGTGCGAGTCTGTCTCCTTGGGCTATCTGGACCAGAGCATGGACTGCTGAAGAAAACAGGCACGGTGATTTGTTGAACAAGTATCTTTACCTCTCTGGACGAGTTGACATGAAGCAAATTGAGAAGACAATCCAATACCTGATTGGATCAGGAATGGTGAGATTCTTATCCATAATTTATGTTTCTATAAAATCTCCCTCCCCCCCCCCCCCCCCCAAAACCACATTCCTTTTCGTTTTCTGTAAACAAAAAAATCAAATCAGAAAAATAATCCAAACACATAATAATGACTCTTCGAGGCTTATACACGTGACTTAAATCATCATAGGTTTGAAAGCACAGCTAGAAATCTTGCACTTTGTGACTTGGTCTGAATGACCTTTAATTATGCATTACTTAGGCCCATCCCCAAATCGCAAAAGAGAATATGTGATCGGAAAGGCTTTATTTGTTTAATTATAAGTTCAAGTAGGCATTTTTCAGACAGAAAGAATGAAAGCCTAAAGGTAAAAGTGATTCAGCTTCTGATGGCAAATTTCATTATGTAGTGATTAGTTGTATGATTTGAAAGCTTTGCCTCTTCTGTGAGTTCTTATGAGCCCCTATACAGCATATCTCTCTCTCAAAGGAAGTTATTTTGAAATTCTTTTTACCTTTTATTTGGTCTACTGATTAGGTTTCATCTTTTAATGTCTTGTGTTGTTTGCAGGATCCACAAACTGAGAACAACCCTTATCTTGGGTTCATCTACACTTCCTTCCAAGAAAGAGCTACCTTCATCTCTCATGGTAACACTGCTAGGCTAGCCAAGGATCATGGTGATTTGAAATTGGCACAGGTGTGTGGAATTATTGCTGCAGATGAGAAGCGCCATGAAACTGCCTACACTAAAATAGTCGAGAAGCTCTTTGAGCTCGACCCAGATGGCACAGTCTTGTCTCTAGCTGATATGATGAGGAAGAAGGTGTCGATGCCCGCCCACTTAATGTATGATGGTGTGGATGACAACCTTTTTGATAACTATGCATCCGTTGCTCAACGCATTGGAGTCTACACTGCAAGGGACTATGCTGACATCCTGGAATTTCTAGTTCAGAGATGGAATGTAGAAAAACTGACAGGACTTTCAGGTGAGGGACGTAAAGCACAAGATTTCTTGTGTGGATTAGCTCCAAGGATTAGGAAACTCGAGGAGAGAGCTCAAGCTCGTGCTAAACAAACATCCCTTGCCCCGTTCAGCTGGATCTTTGGCAAAGAATTGACTGTTTAAAAGGTATGGCAGTAAAATGAAAAGAAGACTACATGCATCTACCTTGCCAGTTTCTCTTTATAGCTCAGTTTAAGTGATGTAATCCTTTGTCTTTCATGATGATGTTGGTTGAAAGAAGTAATAGTCATTGTAGATACTTTTGTTTGTCTAGTGAAATGCATAAGCATTTTAAGAATAGGGAAACCTGTAGTTTTAGTATGCTTAATTTTGTCCCCTACATCCTGAGATCTGTTGTATGAGTGAATTGAATTTATAATCAATGTTGGATCTTGCCGAGCAATTGTTTTTTTTTTTTCCCCTACATGCTTAATTTTAATGACTTGTAAAATTCAATCTGCAATTGTTTTTTTTTTTTCTTTTTCTTACAATAGAGTAGTTAAATCTCGAACGAGTTACAATTATGTTTTTTGTTTCTTACACCATATGTCGACTAGCCTCACAAGCTCAAGGAACTAGGGAAGATGCTGATTGTAACTACATACATAGCTCAGACCATAATGAAAAGCAAAACTTAAATTAACAGGCACAACTGAGACCAAGAGCTGTATTCGGAACATCATGTTCAAAAAGCTTTGAAACTAAAGGCAAGCAGTCACTCTTGAAGCAGTACGAGTTGCAAAGAATGAACATGCATGCCCTTATAGTTTCCTCTACTTCGTCCCTACTCCAGTCCATCATACTGCAAATCGTAAGCAGCTCCTTTCCAACTCACATTAGCTTATACTCCGTATTTCTCATGAATTATGCAGCAATCAACTTCAATGTGCTTTGTTCTTTTTTTTTTATTCGAAAGTACTAGACTGGTTTAGGCATTAATCAGATTCACAAGCAGATGCTGATTGCCTACAATAGTTTCTAATCTGTCCTGTACAGTTAAATGATAAAAATTAATCAGATACTGGCCTCGCCTCGTTCCTACCTAGCACACCAATAGATGCTCGAAGCCAAGACAATGATGATCATATACACCCAAATAATTCAGCCCATTTCACTGTATGCAGAATACAAACAGAGCAAATAAGTTGATTTAATAATCATGATCAATGCTAAGATTCTGAAACAATTGGTATAATTGGTGATCTGAAACCAACTCGACTTAGCATTCAGTTGTCAGGCCAGATTCTGAGCTACTGAAAGCCAAGGTGATCAAAATAGAGTATATACCTAAAAATTTGATTTCAACAAGCGAAAATAGAGTTAGACATTCCAATCCCAGAGAGCAAATCAATTAAACAAATTGAAATTGAAATTGAGATGGCTATTGATCATATATAGCAAGCAAACTCATATATTGCTCATATTATATATAGCAGTAAAATAACATTACAATCTCTATTACATGATACTATAATAGTAAGATCATTAACCAACATAAACTTTCAAATTTAATAGCATAAAAAGATTCAAAGAATTAAAAAATTCCCAACATATTCTCTTAATTGCTGTCAAAACCTTTAAACATTGAGAGCACCAGCAGAAGGGTAAGGCAAGTACCCCATCTCTTCCTCAGAAGATCCAACTTTAGCAGTCTTTCGAAATCCTCCATTAAAATCACTACCAGATCCTTCAACGACAGCGTAGTACTTCAAGAAGAAGGCGACGGTCAAAACAACCCATTCCAAGCAAAACATGACAACACAAAGACCACCTGCCAATTTCAGTATCATCACACCACTATGTTCCTCAACATAGGATTTTAGGCTGACTAAGAAATCATCACTCCTGGTAAAGATCAAGACCGCAATCGATCCTTGAAAGATTGCGGTGAGAACGGTGGCTGCCATGTGGGCACCGTACCACCGGGTGCCACCCGTGCTTGCGGCGTGGCACCCGGCTAAGGCGCCGAGGATGGTGAGGAGATGGAGGCAAATGAAGAAGAAGCCGCAAAGCGAAGGGATTAGCCGAAGGGAGAGGGTGAGGAAGATGCAACTTGATGCTGCTGCTAAGAGGATGTAATTGCTGAAGAGGAAGAGTTTTTTGGTTTTGAAGTGGGGTTCTGAGTTTGATGGGGAAACGATTTTAAGACCACCCATTTTTTGTGTTTTTTTGGGGGGGATTTTGAGATTTTGTTGAAGATTTTTGGTGATTTTTGGAGAGAATTTAGGAGAGAAATTGAAGGGAATTTTGATGTTGTTCAAGATGTCTTGAAGCAGTGAGAGAGAATTGTGAATTTGTGAGGAGAAAGGTGGGAAATGAGGGGAAGAAATAGAGGGGAGAAGGTAACGGTCAAATTTGAAAGTTGGGGGGAGAAAGGGTGTAAAATGTGACCGTTGGTGGGGGCAGAGTGTTGGAGGACAGCAAAACTAGCATAGCGGTGCAACGGCTAGAATTAATTTGATTTAATCACGTTATTAGTTTGTGTTTGTTGCAGGTAATAATTAGAGCTTTGGGATCTAAAATGGTTAGGTAGAGTTTGCAAATATAATAAACCTAAAGTTTTGATAAAAAAATTAGAAAAAAATATACTTATATTATGTAGAGTATGAATCGATAGTTTTAGATTTGGGATTTGTGCTTTAAAAGATATTCAGTAACTCTAATTTGTGTTTTTGGGAGGATCTCTCAATAAAATGAGGAGTCAAGTTGGGCATGGATCAGATTGATTCGAGTCTAATATATTGAGTAACACAAAAGACACGTCGATGAGACATAAGAGTTTATACATAAGACACGTTAGCATACCACGTAGACCTTCATAGCCTAGTGTGTGCCTAGCTTTCTTCAAATGAGTGGGATTTTGACAACAGTTTTTCTTCTTCCAAATTAAATTCAAGTCAAAAATATTATGTACATAGAGAATGTAGAAAAAGGAGGTCCCAACATAATGAGAACCTTAAATACTTGCTTTTATTACTTATTTGATAGTTAAAGTAAAATGATGATAGAATGTACTATGTGAGTTAATCAAGTATATGTCAATAATATACCTTCATATATAGATTAATAATAACAACCCTAAAAATTACTACACAACGACCTTCATATCGATAATTTGCTGAATAGGGCCTTAATATTGGGTTATGATAAACGAGCTTTTTAAAAAAAAGCATGATCAAATGATAAGGGTATTTTTGAAGTTGTATTAGTACACTTAAATACCTCCGTTAATTATTATGTGCAATAAAGGAATATTTTATATCTCATAAATAATACCCCTTTGTTGCATATAATATTTACGGAGGTAGTAAATATGAAAGTGCTTTTAAGTGCAAATTCATTAATAGTAGTTTTTCTATAATCGATACGATATTCGAGTATAAAGGATAAAAAAAAAGTTCATTTTTTCTATTATTAGTAATGAAAATAGTACATTATCTTAAGCAATATTTTGCAAGACAATTAGGTAATGAAGAAACAGATTACCATGAATGTAAGTCAGTTTTTGTTTTCATATTAAGTTAAAAAATTTCATATTATTAGTGTTTTGAGATCCATACTTTAAGGCCCCAGGGTGTTATCACAAATATAATTACAAATCAAGTGTCATTAGCAAATACCTTGACAAATTAAAACTTAGATTATAAATATAAAGTAATTTGTCTAATTGTTTTTCGACATTTCGACACCTACACATCTATCGAAAAGGTAATTGGATAGCTTACTACTATGGCCCTTTCATTTCCTCTAATGGGCTAGCTTTCATTGAAGTAGAGACACTTCTAATATGATGTATTTGCCTACTTAGTTTCTCAAATGTGATACAATAATTAATTATCACTTAAGTTTTTCCTCAATTTGAAGTAGACGTGCCAATAAATATGACTAAATTAAGGCACTGACACGTCACCAAAAACACACTATATAATATGGCGTGAGCATGACCTCACAGACTCACACATGTCTTAGACACGACACACCGTGAAAAACCACCCCAAAAAAATACTCCATATAATTAGTCCAAGCACGAATACGACACGATCGATGTGAGGCCTGGACCGGTACAGACACATTTTCAAGGCCCAAACATGGTCAATCTAATGCCAAATCTAAACTAGTCGTATTTCAGAGTACTACGTAATTTTTTCCAGCAATAACTGAAAAAAAGGGCTCAATTTTATGTTCTTCAATCTCTACAAAACACAGTACCATGTCGAGGTTTCCAGAAAAACCATAAACACAAAGAACGACACTGCAAATTAATCATCAATCAAAGAAATCGCACTGCAAATTCATCGGCAAATACCCATCTTCAACCCCTCTCGTGTTCATCTTCTTCGAGCTGAATAACAATGTCGTCGGTTGATGATTCGAGCTTACAGCACCCCCAACAATTTCTCATTGGTAAGTGCTTTCTCGTCCCTTTAATTTTCGCTATCTTATTTTCATTAATTTATGCTTTTAATTCGATTTCTTTTTTATACCCTTTAATCTGTCAAAAATTAAAATAAAAATTGATTCTTGATTCTATTTATGCTATGGTGTGTGATAATATAATATTTTTTGACTGCCCCTTGAGTTCATATTCAATATTCAATGAATATAATACTCTTATGTCAATGAGATTGCGTTTTTTATATGATTTTGTGAATTGGGTTTTGTTCTTCGATTATATAGAACCCTAAAGAAGAATTATTTAGGTCAAAATCAGTATGTTATGCTGGAGATATAGTTATGTGTACTATTTTAGGATGTTTGGAAAGCCTGTGATTATCAATAGTGTGGGAATATTGGTATAGTGAAATCATGTCATGTCATATCGTTCATATGAGGGGTTGGGGCGATGTGACAATTATTTCTAGATGGATGGAGTAAAATGATGTGTGTGAAAATGCTTAAGAGTAATAGGGCTTTGCTTCTAGGGTTTACGGTTGCTACTGTTTTAATGTAATCGGGACATACTTTTGTTTGAAACATTTGGGTTTCGTCGAGGAAGGTCTTACTTTATTTTCACACGTATGGGGTTTTTATATTGTCTTTGTTTGTTATCAGGGACAGAGGGTACAACAACTCAGCATTTACCAGAAAACGCTCTAGTGGGATGGTATATAATTGATCCAAACCAGCAGCAGATCGGCCCATACACATTGTCAGAATTGCAGCGTGAGTTTTACTTTATTAACTGTGTAGTTATTTGTGATTGAGTATTTAATTTATGGTTCTGTTCTGCTGGAGCTTGTAAATTAAATGAGATTGTCGCGTATAAAAATTTGCTTGTGGAGTAGGGTGTGACATCAAATGACATGTGTGTTACACTCCTTGTTCATGTTGTGTGTTTCCAAAATTATTGTGGTTATAAGATGAAATATTGCCTGTTTATGTAAGTGATAAGCTAGTAGTCAAATTGCAGATAGTAGTTATATAGTCTTTGAAGTTTGAACTGTTGATGTAGTGTTACCAGCAAATCTAGATGTACTCAATCTAGGGCATTTCTCCTAAATGGAAATTCTAGCTAAGAATAATGGAATTTTGGAGAAGTATGAGTGCGGAAATGACTTGGGAATCGAGAAAGTCTAAGCAGGAAAAAGAAGAGAGTAGTATCTATTTTCATGCTTGAATAGCTTACAAACATTGAACTGTTTCTTTTTTTGAAGACAACAACCATTTAACTTAATCTCGCTTTTCATCTCTTTGTACATAAGGAAATCAAGAAAATTCAGGATACTAACCAAGAAACTTGTAAGTTATAGACTAGTTGAGAGGCATGAGTGAGTAAATTACTTGAAATTAAGAAAATGAGAAAGGAATATTCTTCATGCCTAATTTGCTTACCACCACCCAATTTTTGCTCTCAAACTCTAAATTTATCCCATAATTGGGTCGGCTACATGAACAATTATGAGGACTTCCCAGGAGGTCACCTATCCTAGTACTACTCTCAATCATTGCGGCTCATGAATTATGGGTACTAATCTCAATCATTGTGGCTCATGAATTATGGGTATGTATGATTCAGTTAAATAACCATGTCGTCATAACCAATCGATCATATTCATGTTTTCTTTTAAAATTTTCAGACTTGGTTATTTTGGTATCAATTTAGGTGCACATAGGCTGTAGCCATTCTCATGTATTCTCGTATTGCCACTTCTTCATTTCCACTAGAGTAGCATTGTATTTGCATTATGTTTTCATTGGTTTTCCATGGTGAAATTTGATGTGTATATTTGGTTTATTATCACCTCTTATATATTTAATCACAGATTTTCCTTCGATCATGCGTTGGTGTCACTTAGAGGCATATCCTGTCCTCAAATATATCATTTCCTTTAATTCTTCTTATGGTTGTGTTTTTTTGGTCATCTGTGTTGGTCAGCATTTGTCTTTTGGAATTTATTAGTTCCTCTTGTGTCTCTTTCAATTACAGTTATACCAGTTACCAATAGCACGGTTACGTGATCTGTATCATGTTGAATCAACTACTTAGCTTGTTTACTTCGCCTGAGCAGAGCATTTTCTAAACGGATACCTGACAGAGAGCACCTTTGTATGGGCTCAAGGAAGATCTGACTGGCAGCCACTTTCATCGATTCCTGAGTTGATGACTGGAGTACAATGTCATGCATCTGATTTTTCAGCAGGTGAGGATTTTTATTCTCATTGTTATCCTTGCAGGCCAGGAAAGACGGGTCTTATACATAGTGATTTCTTTGCAGTACCTGCCATCAGAGATGATGAGTTCAAGAAATGGCAACAGGAAGTAAAAGAGGCAGAGGCTCAAGCTAAAGCTGAGATGCTGAATAATGGTTCAGCTTCTGTTGATGTAGGTGGAGTTGATCAAGAGAGACCCTCAACTCCACCTGATGGGGAGGAAGAATTTACTGATGATGACGGAACTACTTATAAGTGGGATCGCAGTCTTAGAGCATGGGTACCACAGGAGAATCAAGGAAATGAAGAAGAGGGATATAGATTGGAGGAGATGACATTTGTTGAACAAGAGGAGGTTTTCCCAATACTAACTACGGATGATACACCTAAAAATATAGAAGATAATACAGTTGTTGGGGCCGTAGAAGAAAAGGAGACAAAACCTGCTAAGAGAAAAGAGCCAGATTCAAAGACTGAGAAAAAGGTTAATGCATATGCTTTTAGTTGTTGCTACTATTCTTTCAAATAAATAGCTAGCTGCTAATTTTTATATTTTAGTATCTAGCATCTCTTGAAGTTTCTATAGCACCCATGATATATTAAAGGGTAGTTGTGTGTGTGTGTGTGTGTGTGTGTGTTTGTGGGGTTGGGGGGGGGGTGAAGATGTTATAATAGCTAACCTTTTGTGCAGATAAAGGGCTATTATGCTACCAATACCTGCTTAGTGTTTCTTCTGTACAGTACCTCTTTGATGCCTTTAATTTTGTTACTTGAATTAATTGTGGAAGTTGAATCAGTGTATGGTTAATATGTCCATATTTTCTTACAATGTACTTTGATAGGAAGCAAATAAACCACCAGACAGCTGGTTTGAGTTGAAGCAGAACACACATGTTTATGTGACTGGATTGCCGGATGATGTCACAATCGAGGAAGTGAGTTTTGTTTGAGTGATAAATAATGTGTGCTTGTATTAGCTTCTGGATAAGTTTTGTTTGACATATCTGATAATTTTGTGCAGATAGTAGAGGTTTTCTCCAAATGTGGCATAATAAAGGAGGTAAAAATACGACTTCTATAGTTCTATGCATAAAGTTAAATCTACTTTTATGACATATGGCACATGTACAATTCCTTTGCTTATTAAAGTTGGCTTGAATGCTGAAGATCACGTGTGTGTGTGTGTGTGTTGCGCATCTGCATGTGTTTTATTATTGTGTGTGTATATTTTATTTTCTAATTCTGAAATCATCGTTGTTTAAATTGCTAATAAGAAAGTTTAATTTGTTTTAGTGTATGTAGGCTAGGAAATTGGTGTAGTGCGGTTCTCTTATGTATGGGGTCTTATGGGCTTTTTTTTTTTTTGGGTAAACTATGTTCTCTCTATGTTGTCCTTTTGCTTTAAGCTATTCCAACAATTCTTAGCAAAAGTATTTTTCTTCTTTCTCCCTCCGGTCATTGGGATAATGCTATGGACTTGATTAATGTGTCTTGTTTACTTTTTTAATTCATGATCTAGTCACTTTTGGGATCAAATGTCTAATGTGAATATCCTCTATATCATTTGGGTAGCACGTCATGCATCCAACCCACACTGGGCGGGAGCCTCTTTACAGGAATTGGGTTAATGTTGATGTTGTAGGTGAAACTCTATATATGACTAGATTACAAAATCGATAAAGCTGTATAGAGCAGTGTACAAAATTCTCAGGCACTTCAGCCTCTCCATAAGTATATATTCCTCCTCTTTGTTATAAGATTTAGAAGAACTCCGTTGAGTTATTAAGTGGCTGCAGTTTTGAGCGTGCCGTCTCCTGACACCAGGGACAGTATCGTTGAAGGGCTTCCTTTCCAGCCTTAGTATGTATGCAAGAACTAGATGCTGCTGATCGAACTTTAATCTTAGCCATCTTCCTCCTTTTTGATCCTTAAGGACTCCAAACTCTTGTGTTTGTCGTACTGCTTAGGCAAGCCAAAGCTCACCTGAATCCTCACTTGCTTGAGTATTTGCTTGAACAAATGCTCAGGAAATTATAATCCTGTGGTTGAAGGGCTACAAAGCCTAGAATAATATTTCTTTGTACAACTAGCAAGCTTCATTCTTGTATTTAGAGATTGATCCCAGGTTATTTCCATTAATTCTTCACACAGTAACTGGCTGCTTGCTTTACATATCGAGATGTTTGGATGCTTCTCTGCTTTTGAGACAGTTAAAAAATTGGCCATAGCTGGCTGTTAGCTGTTGCTTTTTACCTTCGATATCATGTGCTTAAACGATGGTGAATTGAATAGTGATAAAAGCTGAAAGCAGACTCATCCTGCTTCATGAATGTAGCCTCCTGTTTGGAATATTAGATGTTGACAACTTAAATATATTGTTTCTGTTATGGGATTTTAATATTTGCATACCGTTATAACATTGCTGTGTTAGCTTTTAACTTGGAATCCCATTGACATAAATTATCCCCAGGATCCTGAGAGTAAAAAGCCCCGTGTGAAATTGTATTTTGACAAGGAGACTGGAAAAAAGAAGGGGGATGCACTTGTTACATATCTTAAGGTATTTTTTTTACATTTGTTAGACACTAAAATTAATGCTCAGTTAAACTATTTTTGTAATTCATGATTTTAAAAATGTTCACTTTTTGCTAAATTTTACTAGGAGCCATCAGTAGCTTTGGCAACACAAATATTAGATGGGATAACTTTCCGGCCTGAAGGGAAGATACCAATGTCTGTAACCCCAGCAAAGTTTGAGCAGAAAGGTATATGTGGGAATTAGTACTCAGTTTTTCAGATGGAAAGTTATTTTTTGTCACCCTGCCCCCCTTTGTTAATGTCCTTGCCCTTATGGCAATGCCTGGTCTTGAGTTGCAAACTATGATTGCTTGAGGCCCACATGTTTTGATGTGTTTTATATTATATTTTCAGGGGAGAAGTTTATTCCCAAACAAACAGATAAAAAGAAGAAACAAAAACTAAAGAAGGTTGAGGAGAAGATGCTTGGTTGGGGTATTATTCTTGTCCTTTCTCATCCTTTTTTGAGCTTTACTATCAATATGGCAGGAAGCATCTTGAACTTAAAGGCTGCTAAAAAGCTGACTAATAGAGTAGTAGATGTTTAATTGCTGATATATAGGGCTATATTATGCTCTTGTTTTGGCATCTCTTTTCAGTATTGGGTTGTTTCCTGGTATTACACCATTGCTCTCTCTCTCTCTCTCTCTCTCTCTCTAGTTGCTGAATATTTGTGCTCCTGTGATTTTCTGGTTTTATTCTCTCTCTCTCTCTCTAGTTGCTGAATATTTGTGCTCCTGTGATTTTCTGGTTTTATTCTCTCTCTCTCTCTCTCTCTCTCTCTCTATAGTTGCTGAATATTTGTCTCCTGTGATTTTCTGGTTCTCTCTCTCTCTCTCTCTCTCTCTCTCTCTCTCTCTCTCTCTCTCTCTCTCTCTCTCTCTCTCTCTCTCTCTCTCTCTCTCTCTCTCTCTCTCTCTCTCTCTCTCTCTCTCTCTCTCCCTCTCTAGTTGCTGAAGATTTGTGCTCCTGTGATTTTCTGGTTTTATTCTCTCTCTCTCTCTATTTATACTGTACATGTATTGGCCTGAATTCATTAACTAGTGCCTTGCCTTAAATCTGCTGAATTTGATGGGCTCATGGAGTCATAGCCAATTATCCATAATACTAAGTGCTTCTTGTACTTGATATTCTTGTCACTATGTTTTTCTCATTGGTGCTGCTTTTGGTGAACGCTACTGCTCTTGCTGTTCCATTTGTGACTCTTTGTACTATCATTTTAATTTGATGAGGAAATACAACAGATAATTCCTTATTGTTAATGTTGCCTAAAGGTTTCTTGTGTGTTTAAAAGCTATGCCTTTCATGTGTATACTCTTCTGGACCTTTCTTTTTGGCATTGTTTTGGTGCTTCACTTATGCATTAACCTTGGAATATTATTGGAAGATGGGATGAGGTCCTGAAACCAAAAAAAGGTTGGAAGTTTAATTCTAAAGCACAATCAGTTTCTTTTCCTCTTAAAACCTACCATGTGGTCGATGTGGATGTTTCATTTTGGACATGTCATTGCATTTTTCATGGCTACCTTCTCACTTCAACTTACCATCTTTATTCTCTACATTGATTAGGGGGTCGTGATGATTCAAAGCTTATGATCCCGGCTACAGTTGTCTTGAGCAACATGTTTACAACTGCGGAAATGAGAGTAAGTCTAAGTTACTCTATGGTTCATATTTTTGTATCTCATCTCCATTATCCTGAAACCACATGTTTTAAGTAGTTGGTGTGAATAACAGTACTGGTCTACTGGACTAGTCAAGCCTTTGTGGGCCAAAATGATTGTCACAAGCATTTTCCTTAATGCTCCTCTCCTGACATAAACCAAAGATAAGGTCCCTTCGGAGGAAGGAAGAGAGAAGTGAATGTTTGCACGAGTGGAAGGACAGACTCTGTTAAATCATTCATGCTCAGAACTTTAATTTGTTGATGAATATTGCTGCTACTTGTACAGGAAGAATTAAGTTTACGTGATGAATTGGAGATAGATGTCCGTGAGGAATGTGGAAAGCTTGGTCCAGTGGAATCTGTCAAGGTACGTTGCTTTATTAACTCATACAGAATTGAGATGACATGCTTGTTTGCTTTAAGAAAAGTTTGTGCACTTGCTCTCAACGTAGCCATCTTATGAATCTCATTTTACTTGTTTTATGGGTTTAGCTTGAGATTCTTATCTTGAAATGTTTGCGACTTGCATGCATAAACAATGGATCTCAGAGCTTTACCTGGGGGGGGGGGGTTTGGGGGTTAGGAGATAATTTTACAGTTCCATTTTAGTTCTAACTTTATAACACATGATAATGAGGAATTATGAGGGCAACAAAGCCTACCAATAACTCTGTTATATTAGGGTTCTTGATTTTCCTGGTTCTTGCATTTTGTTAATCATTTTATTGCTTTCCTATTTTATATTTAAGTTCCTTGTGAATAATGATGTCCGACAGCTTTCCATTTACCCCATGAAACAAAGAAGGTATGATGTTGTCTTTTTGATGCTTTATTGAATGAATGTAGTGATTTTGTCTATTTAGTAGTGATTTATCTCTATTTAATTTCCCACATCATGCATGTTGTCTGTAGAACTCATGCTCGTATTATGGGTTTTGCACAAGCACATGATAATGGTGGCCATCTCCACATTATCCTTTCATGCTTCAATTTTGGTTTGTTTTGATTTCTGATTTCCTTTGATTGGTCAGGTCTGTGAGAACAACCCACATGGAGTAGTTTTAGTCAGGTACAAGGACAGAAATGATGCTAAAAAGTGTATAGAGTTGATGGATGGAAGATGGTAAGTACAGACATTTCTTGTTTTTGAAGCAAATCTCATGTCTTGCTAATTGTAGTTTAATGGTACCCCCAAAAAATCTTTCACGTGGACACAATCCTCAATTGTTTGTTTTTAACCCAAAAAGTATGATCTCTATAATCATCATATAGCAATATGATCAAGAGTAAAAGCAGATTATTCTAGGAAAGATGTTTTGGATATTTTAAGATGTTTTGCCTCATAGGACAACCTGGACTTCTGAAGAATGAAGATAATTACTAATATTTAGGCAATGCTTGCCGTCTTCCTGATTGATAATTGTCTTCACTGAGCCTCTAGATTGCCAGATGGCCCATTGAGAACAGTCACTGTCTGAACCTTAAACTCGTATCTTTATAAATAACTTAAATTGATTCTGCTGCTTTTGTAAGCAACTTTTGCTCTACACGTTTTTGTTTTTTCAGAACTTATTTCCTGGCATCATTCTTTTCTCATAATTTGTTCGTTTCTGTGAAGGTTTGGTGGGAGGCAGATACATGCTGTTGAAGATGATGGTTCTGTCAATCATTCTTTGCTGCGGGACTATGACGATGAGGGACAACGACTCGAGAAGTTTGCTGCAGAACTTGAAGCTGAATGAAACCATCATGACCAACTTTCTTAGAAAGGGATGCTAATTCCCGTTTCTTGTTTTAGTTAATGTAATTAATTTGTTATGAATAGACTATAGCGACTGGAACAGATTTGATCTGCTATGGAAATAGGTCGGAGTGGAGATGTACATACTTGAGGAAGCTGATAATTTTGTACGTTTGGCTAGCTAAAATATTCTTGATACTTCAGTATATGATATGCATCCCTTGGCAATGATGAGATTTTTTTATAGCAAAGAAGGTGGTGTTTGTCTAGCTGAAAGGCTGCTGCTCATTTCTTTTAAGTTCACCAAGCTAAGTCCTTGTTGCCAGTCTATGTCACGGCATGCTAAGCGTTCAAATACGAAGTATTGAGGATATGAAATGATTTTATGAGTAATTTATATCTCTTCCCCATCTCTTATTTCAAGCAAGGGCAATTGAATGTCACTCATTTATCCTGTCGTGCTACAATATATGGGATTACAGCCTTACAGGTATGAAATTAATTTAAGAGAGGATTTAATCATGGGCATTATACGCTAAAATGCAACTATGCAAGTGTATCGTTCAATCATACTTAATATTGTTGCAAGTTTCACAAATATAATACAGCTCTAAAAGTTCCTTGTGTCCAAAGATGAGACCATACATGACTACATCTACGTATACATTAAATTTCTGCTTTAAGTTTAGTGGATCCGATCCGATCCATCTTTCAAAAACAAAAGAAAGTCCCTTCTTTCCGCCATCTTGGAATGGAACAAAAGAAAAGATTATAAATGCCAGTCTTATACTGTAAAATAAAGAGTTTGCACCAAGGACACTCAATTGCTGAATAATACATAATGTGCAAAAAACAAAAGAACTAAGCTTTATTTTTGTTTAGGCTGTGCATGAGAATTATGAAACAATACATCCAGCCTACAAAATGGTAAAATTACATGCGCAAAACCTTGCCGCAGAGGGAAAAAAAAACACCCATCTATAGGGGACCTCATTTGTTCGTCTATGCCATATTGCGAGCCTCAACGAGCTTGACATGCATACTGTTTATTAGGGGATATTGAACAACAATCAATCATTTAAACATATAATAAATATCTAATGAAATAGTGAATCCGCCTAAGCACGCTGATATCTGCATCATTTCTCCGATAAATACATTTCAAGCTTGCAAAAAGCTTGCATACTTGGCTCCTAAGAAGAGCCTTTGGATGCAGAGTAAAGCATTCTTGGTAACCTCAGCGTTTTCATGATTCATTAACTTCATCACCCGCTCCTTAGCCTTGAGATCATTGACAATAAATCTCCCAGATGGATGATGTTGGATAAACTGTGAGAGATCAAAGCAAGCCACAGCAAGGGATCTTGGGTCATTGGAGGTGTCCAAAATAGTGATGAGGACTCTCAAGATCTGCATCCATGAAGCAATGTAACAACCGAGAAGTCAATAGCTAAGTTGAGTATTAGTCAATCACTGAGGTACATTATTGAACGAAGTTGAAAAGAGGTTTCAAATATAGATATAGTGTGCAATATCGATCAAACTAACAGCAGGAAAAGAGAAATTCACCTGGAAATCATTTTCCTCAAAGTTCTTGACATTCTCCCGCCAGAAGAAAACATCTTTATGAACTGGGGACCAGTCAAGATGGCCAAGAAGTACTTCCTGTTTATACTTATCAAATGAACTCAATAATTTGACATTGTCCTTCAGGCCTTCATCTAGTTGATTCAAAGCCTCCACAAGGTCCTGAAATTAAATCAAGGATAAAGAACAGCAAATAATGAGTATTCGTGAAAAGGAAAGTAAAGAATCTAAAAGAAAATTCGCAAAACTGTAATGTTCCTAATGAATAAGGCAAGTATCACAGTAAATTCCGTAGAGATAAATGCAAAAGAGGGTGCACACTTTAAGTATTTCTAGTCAGCCATTGTAACAATATGCTAAAATATTCACCTCATCACCCCAAGCTTGAGCTTTCAAGTTTTGGACAATCTGAGGCAACCCAAGGTCCACCATCTGAGGGCCAAATGTTCCTTTTGGAAGCAGATTCTTGAAGGTCATGACAATAACTCTAACAACCTGCCAGAATTACAAACATACATCTCAATTAATTGATATTTAATAGTACAATCTACAATGCATACAAAAATAAACCAATACATTACAAAAGCAGAGATATAAGACGTGTTCGCTATTTGCAAGACTGACTTTACAAAATCACGAGATTAACGAATTAAGCCAATAGGATAGCATGTCCTTGGTAAATCCTCCAATAATAAAACTTAAAAACGCAAAACATTACCTTCTCCTTTGTAGAACTCTTGACAACCTCTGTCATCCGGGGCAGGCATCTGGAAGTAGCCAAGTACTCAATTGCAGGTTCGTAGAATGACAATAGCCAGATACAGAGACAGGTTTCATAAAGGAGCTGTTGATGTAAAAGGAAAAACCATCCACGTAAGAATGTGAAGAAATATACAAATGTGCACTCATAAGTTGCCATCAGCAAAAATGAATGGAGGGGATTTGATGCACTGACATGATGGATACTTAGTTCTTACAGAAATAACGAATGCATTACCTGCATAGATTGTTGAGTGGACTGTGAAGATGTTAAGGGTGTAGATGGATTGGCTACCGGATTAATAAATGGAATAAGTAGCTTTACTCCATCTGCTTGAACAAATGACGATCTGACCAAAGGTTCTTTCAATAAAGTAGCAAGGCAGTTCACAGCAGTAGGGATACCACGAACAGGATGAGAAGGATTCCTTAGCTGCAGAATATTGATAAGCAAAGTTATTATTCACTAAGACAAATATAGAGCATCAATCTCACTAGATTTTGAATACTATATAGGACTAAGCTGACTAAAGTAGACACATAAAGCATTGTTTAAAAAGAAAAAAAAAAAATTATTGACAAACAAGCAACAGATATATTGAGAATTTGAGACCACATCAACAAATTTGTCCAGATGCATGAAGTCATATTAAAGCAAACAGATATGCAAGAAGGTATAATTTATTTTTTAAAAAAAAAAAAAAAACACCTGTGTGCAAAGCCACTCCACCAATCCTTTTAAGACATCATCTATGGTGGTCAATTTGCTTTTGGAATCCAAGGCCTCACCATTCATAGCTCCACTGTACTGAGTTTTAGGTCTAGCACTAGAATGATCAGGCAAAATCACTTACAGGTACATCAAGAAAGTCATGTAGCCAAAAGCCAATTATTAGCAAACAGTTTATATTTCAGTACCTTACAATCAATGCAAGTATCTTGCAACTCTTCTCTTGTATGAACCATTTTCCTTTCCATAGCAATCTGGAAAAAATCCATACAAGAACGTTAAAGCAGAAATTTGACAAAAAAAAAGGGGACTTTGGAATGAAAAATTGCAAAGTATAAACCAATAATTGAATGTACAGAGTGGCAATAGTCTCACTGCAATCGCAAGGGAAAGGCTAAGCACCTCTTTAATAGTGGTTTGACATTTAACCCCTGGTTCACTCTCAACCTAGGTGCCTTCACTAGAAGCATTCAGATAACAGTATGGTAATAGAAACTAGCTTCATTTTAATTGCTACTCTTTCATTCGTAAACAATAACATTAGCATGAATCTATCACAAGCAAGGTATGGCAAAGGTCCAAATGTAAGCAAACTCAGCTTTAAGACAATCCAACCAGTTCAGAGTCTGTGTTCAGATGCTACCCTTTCTACTCTTCTTGTAACTTTAAAAGGCAACAAAAATATCATTCTCAGAATATGGGGTTTCCTAGCTCCAAGGCAGTCAAGAGAGTCGCAAATGCTAACAAGCTTAAAGGTGAGCTCAATTTTTATCTGAGAAATTTAATTGTAACCTTTAAACGGCACTTTCACCACTAGAATTCCATCAACTCTACCAATTGGATCACCACATAAATCATTTCCCTCATACTAGCAGCCCTTAAATCGTAGTGATAGCAGCATAGAAGAAAAATTCATGAATTTATGACGGTTCCATATATTCAGCTAAGAGCTGAATAGTTAACAAGACGTAATTAAGAAAAGTAGAAGGTGAAGCTATGAATGAACAAAGAAAGTTGTTACAATCTACAAGCTTTTGATAGGGCTTATTCCCTCCAAAATGCAAAAGCAATGCTAAAAAAAAAAAAAAAAAAAAAAAAAAAAAAAAAAAAAATAAATAAAATCTTAATGATAGTCTTCATAAATCATGATTCTCTCTCAAGTCTACACTCCAATATTTATACACAATTTAGGCTCTCTCTCCCCTCTAAACAACTATCCATCTTCCTTCACAAGCTTCTCATCAATAAAGTATACCATTATAATGTGCTACCATTGTAACAACCCCACCCCCCCCCCCCACTCCCCCCCACCCTGGGATTAGGCCTATTTCCGTTCAACATGCTACAAACACTTTCAATTGTCTTTTGTCATGTCCCACAGCCTGTTCATCACTAAAATATAGCCACTTCAAGCACATAGGTCACATTCATTATCACATTGCCACAACATGAATCACTCACATTCAACCATTACAAATTTACATCAACTGGTCGAACTGGGAATTCCAAATCTACTAAGTGAAATTCAACCATAATTAGATGATGCTATATCTTAAACAGACAACTGATATTCAATCTTCTCAAAACAACACTCTCAAATAAAGATTACTAGCTCAATGAGGATGCAAATCTACATTAAGTCACAACTGACAAAGATCAAACTCCTATTTGTTTATATTGGATGAGAAAGAAATGGACCAACAAAATTTTTCATATACTTGCCTTAAAAATGGTTCATAGATATCCTCATTTGCAAGTGATTTATCATGAAACAGCCGAGCTCTTTTTGGGTTTGCTGCAGAAGGGGAAAAAGCAGAAAATTAGTCTATAGTAAGTTATACAAACCCAGATGGCTTAAAGTCTCAGCATTTACCAGCAAGCATTTCATCAATTAAAGAAAGTACATATTCCACTGTCTCTTCTTTGTGAATATCACGCAGAATGCTCACAAAAACTCGAACATAGGATGGACCATCCTGTTACAAGTACAGCCAGAAATTAGAATTATATATACCCATTAGCAGAAAACATCACTATGCAAACCCATGTTCTTGTCAAAAAACACCATATTACTTGTTTTAATATCAGAAATGTTAATTTTGATGGTAATTTACGGGGTAATGATGTCCCTTCTCTGCTGAAACCCAATTATTCAATAGAACAACAGGGTAGGTCATGATAGATCGCACCAAAATAATAAGAGATTTCGCATCAGTGAATCCAATAGTCAGAAATTCGCAAAACAATAATAGTGTGTCGCTAAAATTCTTGAAAAGCCAACAAGTTGGAAAAGAATCAAAATAAAACATTACATCATCCAGCAAAGAAGCTCTCTGGTTCTCTGGTTTTTTATCATAACGCCTTAAAAGTTGGAGGGCTGTCCCAGTAATCAACTTCGTTGTCATGTATGTCTCCCATGGAATGTCCCTTTTGAGAACCTTTAAAAAGACAAGGAAAAATATACAAAAACATAATTAATTAACATTTTACACCAGTATAATAGATCAAATATAATGAATTACAATTAAACCACAAATATACATGACTTCAGGAAACCAAAGGAAGCAACTTAAAATTCTCATGTTCATCTTTAGAGAATTAAAGTTCTCATGTTCATCTTTAGAGAATTAAAGTTCTCATGTTCATCTTTAGAGAACATCCATGCACAGCTTAACACAAGATCAACAAGTAATACAATTAATAAACCAAGGCTACCTTTTTTTTTTTTTTTTTTTTTTTTGACAAGACCAAGGCTTACGTTTTTGGCAATAGATAGTATGCAATCAAATGGCTTGACTCAATGTGGTTAAATCTAACCATCAAATCTTTAAGAACAACATTAATCAATCAATCAAAGCCTTAATCCCATAAGTGGGGTCGGCTAACATGAACCAAATTTGATTATTATGTGTAGTCATCAATATAAATCTTCCTCCTTCATCCCTTACGATCCAATGCTTCATCCTCATATAAATCCATACACTTCATATCCTTCCTAACTCCTTCCAACCAAGTCATTTTCGGTCTCCCTTTCTCTCGTTTAACCCCTCCATGGTCCCATTCTTCCACACTTCGCATCGGTGCACCCTCGGGTCTCCGTCTTACATGCCCAAACCAACGCAGGCGATTTTCCCTTAGTTTATCCGCAATGCCTGCCACACCTAATTTCTTGCGAATAACCTCATTTCTGATTCTATCTCTTAGAGTGTTCCCACACATCCACCTTAACATGCGCATTTCCGTGACCTCCATCTTTTTAATGTGCTAATATTAATACAAAATGAAAAACACAATGCAATTCCTTACAAGCATCAATAATAGCTCGAGCATCAAAAGGTTGAAAATTTTTCAATAACATATTTTTGATGCCACAACACTCATATGGTAGTCAGCATTGCTAAAATAGTTGGGCATGTTTCATCTTTCAGCAACAAGACACAGCTAGACACAAAGACAACTTTAAAGTGTTTACTAGTCAAATCGAATGCTCTCGAACCAACCCCCCCCCCCCCCCCCCCTAAACACACACACACACCAAAAATCTATAATTAAGTTAAAGCATCAAATATTGTACAAGCATTGCCAGAGTTGCCAACTGATCATAACAATTGCTAGAGTACAACTTAAGGCGTCCATCTATTGCATTTTTACCCGGATTTCGCCCAAAAACCTCAATGTGGATTGACTGAGAAAAAAATAGCGCCATCAAAACAATGACAAACTGCTAAATCATGGGTAACTTCCTAAATTTACCAAAGCAAGAAATTGACACCATTAACTAATAATTCCCGGAAATTTCAGCAACATTATCACTAACAATCAAATTCGATTTAGATCAAGTAAACCAACAAAAATTGAAAATCCCATCATAAAAATTGAATCCTAGAGGTCTATTAATTAAAAAATCAACAATTTTGAAGATAACCCATGCAAATTGAAATCAATAAACAGAAATTAAGATCAAAACAATAACCAATCAAACCAATTAGTACCAAAATCAAGAGAAAGATGAACCAAGGTCAACGAATCAATGATTCAGGAAAATTTGAAAGAGGGTATTTCAGAAAAAATAAAAAATCAAACCTGGTCAGTGGTGAGTTCGGCATGATCGATCGTCATTGATTGGGAAGAAATTCTGCTGAATTTCCAACTTCAAATACTAAAAATACAAATTAGGAAAAAGGGTTAATCTCAATTTAACAGAGCATGAAGAAGATGAGAAGATTGGGAGAAGAGAGAGAAAGATAGATTGAGAGTAGATCGCTCACCAGAGGAAGATGGAAGGGAAGAGAGAGAAAGGGATACGGAGGAAGGATACCAGAGTGTCGTCGTGCTTTCGTGGCGATACTTGTTTGATTAAATCTTTGTTTTTTTATTGTGAATCGCTAAACACCGCCCGCAATTACTAGCTAACGTTCGTACAATTTCCAACTCCCTTATCTCCCTTTCTCATTTGGTTAACTACAAATTCTAGTCGCTTTTAAAAAAGCGTAGTCATATAGCATCTTGTTAGTCGCGTAGTACATAAAAACCGATGTATATAATGGTACTCAAAATTACGGTGTATCAAGATAACTGAGTTGTCCGTTTTGGATCTAACCAACTATTTTTATTTATTTTCATGCATTATTTTGTCAATTGTGGTTTCACACTCTCCCACATATGTCAAATTTTCTCCATCGTTTTCTTTTCCTCTCATCCAATTGTTATATTGAAATGAAACATTTGACATTAAATAATCGCTTTACCTATAATGTCTCAATGGGGTCATGGGTAGATAATAGCATTTCCTCTCCCAAGTAATTTTACATGGTTTGAAAATAAATCGAACTTTTGGTTTTAATGACTTGTGTTTGTATACTACTGTGATTATCAAATGTGATTATAATGAAAACTCACTTGATGTCTTGATTTAATCTAATATATGCTCACATGGTCTTTCAAAAAAAAATAAAAAAAAATATAGGCTCACATGAACATGACCAATTTTATAGAGTATTTCATGAATCATGGTAAGCTAATGACCCTAAACGGGGGATAAACCCAAATAATACACATACATAAAGCAAATTTGAATCAAATACCTCAAGGTTGAATACAAACAAAACCTAACTTTTATAAACATCCCATTTAACACCTCGTTATCGTAATTAACTTACAATCACATCTGTACTATTATTTTAAAACAGGAAGATGGAAGGACACATGTCCACTTCCTGTTTTTTCTAATTAAAAAAATTAACAAAAAAAAAAACCGAGTTATGTCCTTTTCCGACTTTTCTTTATTTTTTATTGTTTTACAAAAATTTAAGCTCTACTAATCTTACTGAAGCGTAATTTCCAAAAATAAAAAAATAAAAAATAAAACCCATCAGGGTGAAGCGTTTCAATTTTATTTTTTTTTTCCTTTTAAACCTGTTATTTCTTTTCCTTTTATCATTGTTCTTCATCTGTTTCTAAAATTTGTTTCTTTAATAGTCAGTTTCACATCCCCCTCTCCTATTTATATCACAATACACATGCAATTGATCTCTCCAACCAAATTTTGAGTTTTTGCTTAAAATAAATTAGGTTTTCGTGATCGGTTTTATCAGATATGTTACAACAAGGTTTGTATTTTTACCAGTTTAAATTTTTGGTTTCAGATCTGAAATCGGGTTGCAAAGGTGAATTAATTGTATAGATTTGTGATACTATGAATTATTTCTTTTATTTTTTCAGAATTTATATTTTCTCACTTTCATTGTGTATCGTTGTTAATTGATGCTTCTTTTTACTGTGTTTTAAGAACTAATGGGTCGTCAAGTTTGTGGGATTTTTTTGGCTGATTTGGTCAGATTTTTTGTTTATTTGCATGACAAAATTTCGATTTATGGTATCTAACGAGTGACGACTAATCTCTCTGTGGGACGTTGAGAAGAAGTTAATTTATTTTCCATCTCCAATTGTCACAAGTTTCATATCCAATTGTCATAAATTCCATCAAAAATTGTGAGTATTAGGCAGAATTGTTGTGATCATCTTATTATTCTTTTTCTTTGCAATGTTTATTTGGTAAAAATGTACATCTTTTCTAGTTTTATGAAATCCGCTTACATATATTAATATTTTTGGGTAAAAATTTACATCTTTTTTTATTTAATGAAATTCGGTTTCATATATTAATATTTTTGGGGATAAATGTTTAAATGGTATTGACTTATTGTTGAATTGTTTAAAATTTATGAGAGTTTTTAGATCAATAAATCACTATACGTTCAAAAAATAAAATAAAATAAAATAAAATAAAATATAAGAGCATAAATATCAAGGAGGATGGCTTTGTCCTCTCAAACATTCTCTCTCCTTACCCTATTTTGATACCTCATACTCTCTTTCATCCACCTCATTTCCCACTATCTCTTTCTTCTCTTCCATTTATTTTTCCCACATCAAAGGGTATCCTCTTGATATATTTTATACTATAAATATGGCCCCACCTTCAAATTTTATCTTTGTGAAGGATTATTTTTTATTGATTTCTTTAATGATAAGGTCTAATAATAATAATAATAATAATAATAATAATAATAATAATAATAATAATAATAATAATAATAATAATAATAATAATAATAATAATAATAATAATAATAATAATAATAATAATAATAATAATTAGGATTTGATAATTAACATACATAATGAAATTACTATACTTTACAAATATTTTGATACAATATCACATGAAATTAGGAATAAATACACTAATTGATACACTAAAGTACAACAAATACAAGAAATTAAAGTCAAGTAACTAATTATCCTCTTTTCTCCTCACCGATTACTAGTATGCCCAAATCTTGCCCACAAATGTTCAACCAAATCTTGTTTAAGTGACATATGAGTTTGTTTATCGTGGAGATTTTCTGGTGTTGCCATTAATGTGGTTAGATTAGGATTTTGGTAGCGCGGGGTTACGGTGAAAGTCGCTGCTCTTCGATTTGAAGTTCCCGCTAAATACTCGGGTTGCTTAGTAGCAAACTCATTAGGATCCCAATAGTTAAGATAACTATCGCGCTCATCTTCCACGATCATATTGTGCATGATAATACACGCCATAACAATTTTCCACAACATTTCGACACTCCATGCCATAGTAGGACGCCTTATTATGGCAAATCGAGCTTGCAACACTCCAAATGCACGTTCTACATCTTTTCTAATACTCTCTTGTTTGGTAGTAAACAATCATTGTTTAGGGGTTTGAGGTGCAGTTATCGCATCTATAAATGTTGCCCATTTTGGGTAGATCTCATCTGTGAGATAATACCCTTGATTGTAAGTATTTTCATTCACGGTGAACTGAAGTTGTGGAGCACGACCATTTAAAATGTCATCAAAGGCGGGTGAACGTTGAAGGATATTCATATCGTTGCACGATCCAGGTGTTCCAAAAAAGGCATGACATATCCACAAATCCCAAGATGCAACAGCTTCACGAATCACTCCGTCAACGAAGTGCGTGATACAATGCCTAGCCATAGTTTCCCCAAGCTTGAGGTACTCGTCAACTTGATCAGCTAGGGGTGAGCACGGATCAGATATCCAATCCGAAATCCGTTCGGATCGGATATCTGTATCTGAAAATCCATATATTTGATATTCGATCCGAAACTTTTGGATATCCGAAATTTTTGGATCGGATATCCAATATCCGACCCTTTTTATAAATTGCTTCTATATTTCTTTAAAAAAAAATTGCTTCTATAATCTATATATGGCTGCTACTGTGCTCTTGTTCGCCCAGCAACACCACCAATCGGCATGCAGCCACTGCGCACCAAGCAATTTAAATCTGTAATGTATAATCCAAAATTACAAAAATGATCAATTATCTAAAATTATGAACTAAACTTAATATAATTTAAAATTACAATTATATAAAAAAAATACAAGTAATTAAAATCTTAAATTTGAAAAAAAAAAATAAAACTACATCCAAATTCTAACCTATATTAAATTAGATATGAAATTACAGCCTCGTCGGTGTCGGTGTTGCTGCTGGCCACAATCTATGTTGTTGGTGGTCGTTGTTAGGAACCGCCGGTGTTGCTCGGTGTTGCTGTTGGTCGCTGTTGGCAACCGCCGGTGTTGCTCGGTGTTGTTGTGGAGTTAAAAGTTGAGAGAAGAAAGAATGGAGTATGGACATAAGAGGATAGAGAAGAAAAAATGCAGTACTCTTTATTTTTTCGATAGGGAAGGTTTGAAAATCCGAATTCGAGGTTGGGGCGAATTCGGTTTTCTCAGTTGCTTATCCTTTCTCTTGGTAAAGAAGACCAAACTGAACAACCGGTTATTACCCCCATTCCCCTAAGTCTCTTGCAGAAGAAAAAGGGAGGAGAGAGAAAAGGGAGGAGAGAGAAAAAAAGGGAGGGGAAACTGAGAGAAAAGATGCGTGACTGACAGAGGAGAGGAAAGGGAGGAGAGAGAAAAGACGCGTGACTAACAGAGGAGAGGAGAGGATAAGGAGGAGAGAGAAATAAAAAGGAGGTGGGGTTGTCATTTAATTAGTGTTTTTTTTAAAAGAATGGGAGGTATTTTTAAGTTTGTTGTTCTCAGATATTTCGAATATTCGGATATCCGAAATCTAAAATTCCGATATCCGAAATTTTCGGATCGGTTATCCTAAATTTTTGGACCGGATGCGGATCAGATTTTCGGATAATTAGATAGTTTTGCTCAGTTCTATGATCAGTTGCGCAGCCATATGCTAACATCCTTATAGCCGCTGTGCACTTTTGTATTGCAAAAGCACCCAAACGCATACTAGCATCTGGATGTTGCTGGAAAAATCGATCAGTTTCACTTAGTTGATTCACTATCTTCATAAATAAAGGTTTCCGCATGCGAAACCTTCGTCGAAACTTATCGTCACCATACAATGGTTGGTCGCTGAAATAGTCAGCAACCAACTGATCATGTGCTGCTTCACGATTACGTGGTATAACTTTCCTTCGTTTTCTCTGACGTGGAACATCTTCTTGTTGTTGTTGCATGGTGGTAATAACCACATATCTCAATGCATCTTCTATGATTTGTTGTTGCCGATTTCCCTCAATAAAATCAAGCAACATGTAGTCATAGATTTCATCACTAAAAGTGGAAGAATTTGAATTACTACTCATTTTAAAATTACTAATATGTAGTAGTTGTAGTTGTGATAGTGAAAGTGTTGTAAGTGAAATAGGTCAATTTATAGAAAATTGAGATAAAAGTTACAAAAAATGATTTGCAATCTGGTAAGATAAGATTTTTTACCAGAAGATAAGATTTTTTGTAGATAAGATAAGATTTTTGGTAAATAAGGTAAGATTTTTTTATCAGAAGGTAAGATTTTTGGTAAATAAGGTAAGGTTTTTTTATCAGAGGGATAAGA